TTCATACTCAACGTTTTATAGAAGAACGCGTTACTCCAGATATTGTTTGCAGACTTTCATTGCACGATTTGAGGCAACTCGGCTTGTCTAATCCTAGTGAAAAAATGTCTTTGAGAATCGAGTGCACGAAGTATGGAAATGCACAGCCATCAAAAAGAAGTACAAATGAGACTACCCATGCTATGTTTGAAATACCGAGGGAGCTATTGGAGAGTCTTTTAGAAGAAGATTTCTTGATAAGCGAAATTGCAACAATGTTATCTGTGTCTGAAAGCACAATATATCGTCGAATGAGAGTTTACGGTCTTAGCAAATTCAGCTTTACTGACATTTCTGATAATGAATTAGATGTTCATGTTTGTGAAACGGCCAGAGAATTTCCGCATTGTGACGAAAGTATGTTTAAACAGCTGCTTAAAGGAAAAGGGATAAGAGTTCAACGACATCGACTTCGCGATGCCATTCATCGAGTTGACAGCCAGGGTGTAGCAAACAGAAAGAAGGGTAAACTTCATCGTCGAATTTACAACGTTAAGGGCCGAACCAGCTATGGCACATCGATACAAATCACAAGCTTATAAGGTGGAATTTTTTATTACTGGAGGAATAGATGGCTTTAGTAGGTTACCTGTCAGATGGCTTTAGTAGGTTACCATGTTGGTTTGTACTAACAACAACAAAGCAGAGACATTGCTTATGAATTTCGTAGATGCAGTTACAGAGTATGGCTTGCCAAGTCGAGTAAGAACAGACAAAGGATTGGAAAATGCTCACATTAAAGACTATATGTTGGAGAAAAGAGGAATTAATCGTGGCAGCATCTTGACTGGATGTAGCACACACAATCAAAGGATTGAAAGACTGTGGCAGAATGTTTACCAAGGTGTTCTGACCTTCTATCACAGTTTGTTTTATTTTCTTGAAGATGAAGGATTGCTTGACCCATTTAATGATATTCATGTTGCTGCTCTTCATTATACATATATGCATGAGATCAACAATAAACTTATTATGTGGGAGAAGGCTTGGTCAAATCACTGAATGAGATCAACCAGCGCAGAATCCCATTGGAATCGATATCTCCAGTGAAGACCTGAGAGTATGGTGTGGAAGGTCATGCTCATGATGAAATTGCTGAAGAACACGAAGGCAGACCCATCTTTACTCCACCAATTCTTCAACTGAGTGAAAATTGTCTCGCTGAACTATCCTCACTGGAAAAAAAATCATAACAGCTTTAGAATTGAACTATATGCTTCCACAGTACAGATCACTGAAAGGCACACAGAAGTTTTTCGTTATGACAGTCTTGACTAATGTTCGGTTCTTGACTTTGTCTAAGCAAAACAGTATTACTACTAGCATCTGCTGTATCAGATTCAGATGAGCTAGAAAGTCCAGCAGTACAAGTATACAAGTTAGACCGTAACTCATTCATGAGAAAGTCTTTGTTACATCCGTGGCACACTTGTTTAACATTAACCAAAGGTTCTGATTTGAGAGGTTTTGTTGAAAGACTTTTTTGTATTGGTCTTAGATAGACCTTAGATTGACTGCCAATGTTTTGCTTTAGGTGTTGTTTGACCTACCACTGACATTTTATCATGGTCAAGTGTCGGTAATTTGATTCGCATTGGAGTAGCTCAAAACCACCGCCATCCCGAATTTGAGGAAATCCGACAGTCTCCCCATCAGACAGCTTTTCTGCAGACATAATTTTTTCTGCTACTAGTTCCTCATTGTCAGTAAGCTGAAATTTGATCTTTTTCAGTCCTAGCCCTGCGTTGTGAAGAGTCTGCTTAGTTGTCGTAGAGGGAATGCTACTTTGCAGTCGATCTGCCAAACAAAAAATGTTGCCAGTCTATGGCCACATAGCGGGCTGAGATGCTTTTCTTTTTCTAGCCGTTCCCCTTACATGCCGAGGATGAAATAATCTTGCCCTTTCTGCAGCGATTGAGGCAGAAGATGGAACAGGAGTAGAACTTGATGCTGTAGTATCCCTGCAAACAGCACGAAGACGAATACGCTCTCGTATTGTAGTTACGCCAAGTCGGATTAAATCTGCATCGGTCATAGCTAAAACTACGTCAGGCTCAATCCTTTCTTCGTTAAATCTCTCAAACAAACTCAAGAGACCTGCCTTTTCTAATATTTTATCCATTATATCTGGCAAAAATGACGCACGACGCAAATACTATTGCCTATTGACTATTTGACTATTCAAAGTGTTGAACAAATCGTTTGTTACAAATTACAAATGGTTCAATTTGAGCCTGTGTTTCAGTTAATCAAAGGTACTTCATGTTAGACATCACATAACGAACAAATAAAAGTGACCACATAATGAAATGACCACATAACGAAATTACCACATAACGAAATTAACACATAACGAAATTACCACATAACGAAATAACCACGCAATAAGTTAAGGTAAAATGAAAAGTGAATTACATATAATGACAAATGGACCGCATATAACAAAAATATCACTGCATATAATGAGGAATGGACCGCATATAATGACAGATGGACTGCATATAACGAAAGTATCACTGCAAATAATGATGGATGGACCGCATATAATGATGAATTAACAAGATGTAACAAAATATTATGGCATAAGACAGCTCTGTAATGTAAACTATTATAATGCTGCTGTAAAGCAATTGCTCTATAAAAGGCAACCAGGACCTTATAAGGACGGTGGTTTGCATGCCTAGCATCTTTTTCTGTCGTTCAGCAATTAGTTGCTTTAGTTGATTACGGGAATGCGTACAATTACAAGAATATATTTGTTTGAAAACACGTCCACGATTCAAGATTGTATCAATATGTACGCAACTAATAGTATACATCGTGTTTCACAAAACTAGTGCAATAGATAGTGGCTAAGACAGCCCGAGTCATTCCTACAATTCAAATTTTTTAACAAAATTACTTTTAATTTCTTTAGAAAATTAATTCCATTTTTTGTTTTTCCAGTGTATGAAAAGAAAAATGTTCGCACCGCAAATGTAAAAACAAGATATTTATAGTAAATATTTTTTCTCGATGATTCTCGAAGCAAACGTACTGAAAATATGAGATTCTATGAAGTCTACATTCTTGGATTCATTGTTAATCTTTGCTTTAAGAACACAGCAACTTGAAAGAGTTTTTGAATGCTAGCTGTGAGAGAAGGAAAGCGCCTAGCGATTTGAAAAAAGTAATAAGAATTATTCATTATTCAGGAATTTTAGTTAATTTGAGTTTACTCGCCTCCAGATCGATGCATCCGAAATTAAGAATAGATCGTGGACTTAGTGTAACGAAAATATCTTTTCCTTTACCCTGAAGCAGTTCAAAAACGATGATAACAAAGAGTGCCTGAACTTCTGCGGCGGTTTTATGAAGGTAATACAGAAAGAATTAATTACCTTAATTCCAGCCCGAGTTTGGATCGCCCCTTGGCGCGAAAAGATATGATGATGATGAAAGCAATGTGTTTGCCGTCACACATTACAGAATCACCTGTAGGTATTCTCGATTCTCTTTACACCAGCATGCTGTCTACAAAGGTTCCAGAGTATTCACTTCCATTTTAAAAAGAATATTTTTAAATTGCTACTAACATTTTCATCCCAACAGAAAAGCATATCCTGAATTGAGTAATCTATTTGGAATAGAAATGAAAGCCGACCAACGCTAATAAAGAAAATAATCCGTGTTAGTAGGCTTGATTGGCTAGTACTGTCTACTGAAAGCCAATAGATAGCTCATTGTACATAATTTAAAGAGCTGATTACATGAACCCGGGTAGCCGGGATTTAGCGAAGCGTTAAATCATATTTTGGCAAATGCAAAAGATCAAATACTCAAGAACAAAAAACTTGTTTGAGCAATTTCTATATGCTCTGATTTGTAAATTCACAAAACGTCTAAAATGAAAACAAATCATTTACAAGAAAAGGTTGTAAGTTTTGCGTCTAAAGTTTTTACTCTTTTCAATGACTCAAAATCATTTCACGCTTCGTTGAATCTCGGTTAGCCGGGATCATGTGAACAGGCCCTAAAACTCGCGTTTTTCTTAGTTTATGACCATGAACTTGATTGCTTACTTAATAGGACTGAAGTTGCCGCAAAATACAACGTTACGATTTTAAGAAATAAGAGATGTTTACTATGTTTTCACAGGCTTAAGCAAACCGAAAAGACCTTTGAAAGAACTCGATAACACATCACCGTCTCGAGTAGAAAAATCTCACGAAAATGGCAAAAATGAGCCATTCACTTCAAATAACTTGCTTAGACGTTTCTACTCTGAAGTTAAAAAGCTAAATTTTTTATGTTCATTATTGATTAGTAATAGCAGTGGGTGACAGACCTAAGGTGTACTTGATCACATATACAGGTTGTATAAAAATTCACAACATCAGTCAGATTCTACTGATTCATCACAACTTTATAATTTTTTGTTGAATTGGTGACGCATGAAGTTGGTGAAATCTTAGGACTATCATCTGTTAGCTATTTCCACAATATTATAATATGTAAGAGATAATATTTCTCACTGGTACTCTCACAAAATGTGCAATAAAGTACATTTCAAAGCTCATTTTGAAGTGGCCTATCGCCGACGACGTCTGGTACATTCCTGTACTGTAGTGGCATGACGGTTGGAGGGTACGGTACAGAGTAGGCTGCTATAGTAAGTGGTGTTTTTCACTTTTTCTAAATGAATTGATAAGTAGCTGTGTAAACAGTAGTAAACGCTTCTAGTGATGAATTTATATCACTCACAAAATATTTGGAGAACACCCAGCAGATGAAACTGATTTTATTACCAGTACAAGAATGCACCAAAAAATCATGGATAACAATTTTCTCTAACATTGTGAGAATAAATTCAAATCGACTTTAATTTATTTATAGCGTTTCTTCATTTATATTCGGCACACAGAAAAAAATTAGCTTTCACACTCCAGATCCATATACAGCCCAGTTGAAACATTTCTTATCACGTGATAATCAGTACTGCTGATCATCATTCGTTCAAAGACAGACAATATACAAAATTGGCAATTATTAACTTTTTTTACACGCTTCAAGTCACGAAACAGCGGGGGGAAGTTATAGTCAGTAGCGCGATGTCATGGGTTTACATAGATGTCGCATATGGCGATTTGTTCTTAGTGTTGCCTTGTTTATTGCTGTCGTTCAAATAGTGACAACTCTTTATTTTACATCTTATTTTAATGGTGACGGTTCAAATGAATCGGCGAGGATTAGCAGCGATGTCAAGACGACTCCATTTAGCGATATCTCTACATCCAAGTCTGTGGAAACGACCGCTGTTTTTGACATTCGCAAGAGCAAGGTAATTGAAGGCAATAAATTTAATTCAGGCGATACAAATTTATTGAAAAATGACGAAAACAAACGAAGTACTTCACTTGTATATCTTTCATTTTTCCGGATGGCCTTTAACCTTCACCGTCCGAACTATCACCTAATTTACAATAAACTTAAAAGTTAATACGCTTTGATGGCATAAATATATGGGAAAGAATACCATTTGTTGTAGCTATTCGATTATTTACTTTGCCAAATGCAGTGGAGGGTCTTAATTAAGTATTTTCTTAGTGATGATTATAGTACAGCTGTTGCCACGTGTGAACATTCTTTATTGATGAATGGAATAAGCAATTTATACACGTCATTCGGCCGCGCATTTGTTCACCGGATTTTCTACGTTCAAAAGTAAATGTTACACTTTACCGTAATTTGCGACAAATTTTGCATTGATTCTAGTGGTCAATTTATTCATATTAGCGTCAATCGGTAACGTTTCCTTCGTTCTTTGTTGTTATTAAACTTGAGTTGACCATTAAGAATACGTTTATATGGTGGAAGGCTAGTGTCATTTGACTTGACTAATGGCAAATTTTAATTGTGTTTTGACAATCCCATGTTCATATGTTTATTCAAAAAAAAAACTTTAAAATTATTATTTGTACAAACAACATTTTGTATTGAATATTTCCAAAAGCCTCACAAATCCCTCTTAGAAATGCCACCAAGTTCAGGCTATGAAACATCATTCTTTAAAGCCCTTAAGGAAAAGCAACAAATGGCTTAAATTTATACCAACCTTATGTGAAATCGTTCTGTGGTGTGTTTAATCAAAACATCTTCATTGATGCTGCCTAATGTATTTGTAATTTCTAACAGTTGTACTTGTATATTAAATTGTCATTGAAATGTACTTGACAATGTAGCTACGTATGTAACCATTAGATTGTATAGTAAGTGTTGGACAAGCTACGATCACATCATTCCACTTTATTTTGCTTATGTAGATTTACATTTTTTGCAGTTTTTTTTCTTGTATCTTGAGTTTGTAATATGATATTTGTTTTGAAGTATGCTTTGTATTGCATTTAAATGTGTCTATAGTAATTGCTGGACAAACTAAGACCACTTATGGCCTTTGCACTTTATTTATGACACAAAATTTCACCCAAAGTTTATCAATAGCCTTAGAGGACCAACTGAAATGACTTTTTAGTCATAAATCTTAGCACTGTGCCTGTTTTCTTTTATCTGGAGATATTTAACCTTACACAATATGCTAATATCATTGCTATGACATCACAATGCACAATATTTTCAGCATATATGTACATTTTGTTCACAAGCACAACAGTTTGATGAGTATAAACAGTGGTGTAGCCCGCAAATATGTTCATGCTATGAAAATTTTTCAGTGTTAGAACTATTCATTTCTTTTGAAATGTGTTGTTTGTTTTTACAAGGAGATTGTGCCAAAGTATTTTCAAAGCATAACCAAACTTCTGAGCTGATTTTGTCACTGAGTACTACATGTGTGGATGAATGCTTTTCCTGTATTCTTTTTGTCCACTTTATGTAGTGTATATTACAAATTTTTGATATTGACATGCAACCATCAAATGCTAGGTAACAAATATCATCCTAATATTCACTACTTCTGATATGTGCTTATGTACATATGCAAATCATTGCTGGGCAAGTAATTTTGATGTTAGAATTCAATTTTCAAAAAAATGAGCATGCATTTGTGTGTGTGGTCTAATTGGACATATAGAATTTTGTCAAAAAATAATTGAGTGCTTTTTATGTTTTTTGAAAATAGTTTTGCCTACATTTTGACAAATAATTTATTCCTGGTGATATTAACACCTTGTTAAAAACACTCTGCTACTCCCAGTGGATTCAACATCCTCAAACATACCCACTTGTGCAAAGACTCTAATGCTAATATGCCGCGTACCATTTATTTTAGGCTACAGATTTAGTGTTGAAAATTTTAAGCAAACATAAAGATTTTGATTGCGTCTTGACACACAAAGATGCACAGTCAGCATTTTCTCGGGCAAAAAGTTCGGAATGTCGTAAAATCATCCATAAGACAGGATGTATACTTCAAAACCACAGACTATACACTCACCAAACCTTAGAAAGAAGTTGTCCTCTCGAGAAAGGAAAGAGTGATTTTCCCCGTGCAGTTACAGATGGTGTTGCTAAAGGACCTCCTGCTCGAGTTGTCTTTCTTCTCTCTGTTCACGGGCGCGCAATCCGTCAAGTGAAGAGACTTCTGAAGGCAATTTACCACAAGAATCATTATTATTATTTTCATGTTGATAAGGTATGTACTGTTTGAATGTTCACTATCGCTTGACGATGTTCGAATTTAAATAGCAGGGGACGGTTCCACGAAGCCTGGATAGCATTATCCATTGCATAGCAAGTTTTTAAAATTTTTATAAAACCTTTCAAAGATATTGAAACTGAGCAATCACTGAACCTCAATCAATTTCAAATACTACGAAATTTCTTTGTCGTAAGACAAACACAAACTCCTTTACAAATTTGAAAATTTGTGTATCCAATGGATGTATAACGCTATCCAGGCTTCGTGCAATCGGCCCCAGAGTTTTGAAAGTCTCTATGCAATAGAAAACATCCAAAACGCGCCGTTTTATGTTTTAAGTTACTGCAATATTCTACGTTAACGTCTGAAGCGTTTGTGCTAAAAGTATTGACTTGGCCTGATCACTTCGAAAGCTTTATAAGGCCATGTAAAAATTTCTGTTTTCTCTCACTGTAATAGCAAGAGCAATAGATTTCTAAAAAAAGCTTTGATTTGAAATTTACATTGAACGAACTTTCCGTCGGTTTGAATTGGAATTTTATATTTCCTTTGGTGGTGTCGCAGCGCCTTGTGAATTTAACAGAGCACACTTCCAAAAAATATTTCTGAATCATTGTAGATAAGTAACAGAATTTAGAAAACATCACCATAGTTTTCGCTTCAATGCTTGGAAAACGTATTAATATTTTGCTTGGAAATCGAGACCCTTTCTGCCCCCACCCCCCGTGACCTAGACTTGGAGTGTAATCCTCTACACTCCTGCAGTAAATCCACCTCTGTTTTTAAAGTGACTCAAAGCAGGTTTTAAAGAAGAAATGCTTGCTACCAAAGTATAGCTGTTAATGTTACACTTCGATACCCATGAACGTTCCATTTTTTCTAGCGGTCAAATTATTTATATCGAGAACTTGTGGAGATAGCAGCCGAATTGCCCAACGTAATGGTTGCTCCATGGCGAATGGCGACTATTTGGGGTGGAAGCAGTTTACTGCAGATGTTACTGAAAGCGATGGAAGATATGGTTCGTGACGATTTGAAATGGGACTTCCTTATCAATCTTAGTGAATCAGATTATCCTATAAAGTATGTGATCTCATAAAGTATGTCAAGGTTTGAGATTTTTGTCCTTGGATAAATGAACGAAAACTCAAACGACAAGTTTTGTTTCTTTTTTTGCAGGTCTAACAAATTTTTAACTGAATTTTTGACCGCGCATAAGGATGATAATTTTTTGAAATCTCACGGAAGGGAACCAGGAAGGTAAAACTAAGAAAGGTGAAGCCAATTAAGAATGGCCGCCATTATTTTAATTTTGAACTTAATTATTTATCATATTTATCAAATGAAATGTATTCTATTTGGTCTTTTCTATTTTAATTTATTTCATTTCAATCTTGCTTATTTTCTTCTATTCTGCATTCTAATCTATTGGATTCTAATCTTTTCTATTTAGCTCTATTCTGTTCTGCTGTACTTCATTCTAGTCTAGTCTTTTTTCTATTCTATTTTGTTTTGCTTTATTCTATTTTGTTCTGTTCCATTCCTGTTCCATTCTATTCCAATTACACAACTATTCCAAAGTTAAAATGAATAATTTGAACCCAGGGGTATCATTACATGATTGTAGATGTAGATCTTCCAGATTGGTATTGTCCTGAGAAGGACTGTTTTGTTGTTGTTGACTGACGTTTCGAGGTTCCTAGTCATTTTCAGAGTCACTTGCTAGTCAACATTTCATTTAAACCAAGGCCTTGGCTAACTCCATAAGTGGGAGGGAGAGGGTTGGGCAATATTCATATACTCATTATTCTACCGTATTACGTTCCTTTGAAATTGATTACTTTCTGCAGATTATTACATGTATGAATGTCCCCTCCCCTCCCCTCCCCTCCCCTCCAATTATTAAGACTAACTACGCCTCAGGTACAAACATGTAATTCGAATTTGAAAAGATTTGACAAAAAATTGCACCAATTATTCAAAATACAAATACAAAAAAGTTTCTCTGCAGGTTCATACACAAGCAGGGACTAGATAGAACATTCGTGGAATGTGATGAACACATGTGGAGGATTGGGGATCGATCATTGCCGAGCAAACTCGAGATAGACGGTGGCAGCGACTGGATTGGTTTAAATCGAAAATTCGTTGAATATATTGTGAAATCTGATGACAGACTTGTTGTTGAACTGAAGAATATGTACGCATTTGCTCTTTTACCGGCCGAGGTAATTTTAAGATTAAAGTAACTTTTGTCCTATTCGGTTTCTTCATGAAAACCAATGTATATTCCATATTAAAACATAGGATGTTATTGTTTACAAAGACCAGCGAAGACTGGTGAGCAACTAATGTCCGGTTTGGAGGATAAAAACCTAAACCCTACTCATTGATGTAGCTTTATTATGTTCTTTGTGTTCAATGATCTCGTTTTTCTCACTGTACATACATTTTTCCCGGCAGTTTTTTCATCACAGCAACTTCCTTATTGTTTAAATGCGAACGTCCTAATTTCCAGTTTCCTTTTCAGTCATTTTTTCACAGTTTACTGCGGAATGGTCCGTTTTGTGAAACGTTCGTCAAGACAAACTTGCGCATTACAAACTGGAAACGAAAACTAGGCTGTCGTTGTCAGTACAAACACATCGTGGACTGGTGCGGGTGTTCGCCAAACGACTTTAAACCAGAGGATATGCCAAGGTTAAAGGTAGAAATATGAACTCAGTTTATTTTTATAGGATTGCTTAAAATGCATGAGGAATTACTCATGCATTTTAAGCTTTTTAAATAATGATAATTACTTTTAGGAAATAATTCTGGTTTTAAACTACATATAGTTGAGTCAGTCACTACTTATAGAGCTTACAAATAGCTACATTTCTTTGATTTAGCAGTTGCTTTAAAAATTTCATGCGAGGTTATGATTAAGTCATCCGGGGTACTGTTCGCTCGGTATACGTCATCATTTGTCAAGATCACGTGAATTTCTATTCGTTTGTAAAAACATGTAAATGTGTAATTGGTAATCAAGTCAAAATATCATAAATGGAAATGTTTTGCCTTTGTTTTTCCTTGAGCTCATTTCTGGAGTTTCCAAATCATTTTTTCAGTTAGACGATGTTTCGTCTCTTTCAAATACTCGCTCATCTTAAGTCTTTTGAATGCATTCTGGCAAAGGTTAATATATGAGTGACAAAATAGATCATTTTAGGCCATGGCTATCCAAATACCTGAAAACCATTAAGCACGTAATTGTTTTAGAAAATAAAAACAAATCGTCTTTATTCTCAGACATGTTTAAAATTTAAAATTCTCTCGACAGCAATTTGAATTTCCGTGTTTGGATGGCCTGATCCTAATCCATGTGTCTGTTTGGTGACACGTTTGAATGTTTGTTTTTCAGCAATCTCAACACGATTTATTTGCAAGAAAGTTTGAGGCAATTGTTAATCAAAAAGTCATCAATTTGTTGGAGGAGCATCTTTTTGGAGAATTTCATTCGGGCATGCAGGCACTTGACACTTACTGGGAAAATTCCCATCATCATTTGGACGGCAATAGACTTAGTGATATTTTACGTACGTATTTCGCATCGTTCAGTCGCTTAGCAACAAAATACGTGAGCAACCGACACTGCCAGAACGCTCCTATTGGTCAGTTCAAGGAAATTACATATATCAAAGTCGATGACGAGTTCAGTGGAATGTTGCTATTGCAAGATGTATCGTTAAGGCAAGCAAGGAGTGTTACCATGGAAACATGGTTTTCTAGGGCTGATAGAGAACAGATGATGAATTTGAATATGGGTGAAGCTCCAAGCCGCTTGACTGGTTTACAGGTCAGTAAACTTCTTCCAATCCAATTACCGCCAATAAATGGCTATGGGTCTGAATAGCTTGTTGTTATATATCCATGGATCGACCATGGTGGTTGACTGATTGTGTGGGGAGGGGGTGGATAACATTTTAATGGCTTCTTGTGGATTTTGACGTTTCATGCCAGACGTTTTTGTTAAATTCTGATGCTTTTTTAACTTCAAAAAAGGTTGGAGGAGGGTTTACCTAATTTTTAATAAAAGCATCACTTCAGCAATCGGGCATTATTAATGAAAACATCCATTTAAGATAAGATGGTGTGACTGCGTGGCTTTGACACCAAGGGGGTAGTTAGTGTTGTGGTACTAAAGGGTGGTTGGTGTTTTTGGTACCAAGGGGGTGGTTGGTGTTGTGACACCACGGGGGGGTAGTGTTTTTGGTACCAAGGGGGTGGTTGGTGTTGTGACATTATGAGGGTGGTTTGGTGTTGTGGTATTAAAGGGATGGGTGGCGTTGTGACATTATGAGGGTGGTTTGGTGTTGTGGTACTAAAGGGATGGTTAGGGTTGACGGGCAAGGGAATACACACGACTATAAACAGATTTCGGACCATCTCTTTTCACGTGTTACGATTCAGAGATAAAATACATAACAACTGTGTATAAAACCTTTCCTTGATAGGTGGGTACAAGTTGGGATGAGAAGGAACGTATATTTCGTAACTACGGTCGATTGATGGGTCCATATGATGATCCTGTGTTAGTTCATTACTGGAAGAAGGGTAAAACAATGAAAGTTAAGTTGATGTGGATAGACCCTGTTGCCATAGTAACTGGTGTTTACGAAATGCAAGTCGGTGAAGATTGGATTGTATCTTTTCATAAACCAACCTACGCTAAACCCTTGCGTCCGGGAATGTGGTCTATCAAAATGATATACCGAGAGGAGGGGGGTAAGGACCTCGTTATTGGTCAGACAAATTTTCTTGTTTTACCGCTGGCCTATAGCAACGGTGTTCCTGTAAATGTTACTCAGGCGGTTGCCTACAATAATGGGCCGCCATCCGGCAGGTATACATCACAGTATAGTATAGAGTTTGATCGAGAAGCAAAGGACATAGACAATTTGGCAGAAATTGCTTCGCAAAACTCTAAAAAGACTGGGGCAGAATTGAACGATTGGATAGACACGCTGTTAAAAGAACATTGGAGTGTGGAGGACGCATGCGTGGTTGGTAGTGAGCTTCCTGTTTGTCAAGGATTAGCGCAGTGCGAAGCGACTTTATGGAGTTCAAGATCGCCTGATCCAAAGTCTGAAATTGGCAAAGTTAACGTAAACGGTACCCTTAAGTAGAAGGACAATTGTTGAGCTTGAGGTGTATGACGGGAAACTGAGGATCAAAGAAGGAAACTGGAAGTCTTCGGTGGATATTTCAAGGGAAGACATAGTGCAGCTCGTGCTAGCGATGAACTTTTTATTTAAAAGCGGCCTTTGAAAACACGATTGCATTTGTAGAAGATATTTGGTAAATTAGCTGTTAATTATCTAAGTATGTTTGCATTCGTGGTTTTTCCACGTTTGACCACAATAATTATCGAAGAAATAACGTAGCTGATGACATGGCGATGAATAGTACATCCCCCACACAACGTGCCACCCACGTGTTGACGAATGTTAGCGAAGACCACATGGCAATATGATGATAGTCGAGTATTTCATATACATACAGGTTTTATTACATAATACCCATTGAAATATATGGTTTTCTTGGGCTTTCAGTTAACTCGATATGATTTTATTTACAATCAATGAATTCTTGTTAAACTATCATCATATTGTCTTTGTCAACTCTTCGCCTACGCTATGTCATCAAAATCTCACCAATGTGCAAAATACACATGCGCTTTAGTTAACTTTATCGAATTCGCCTTTTATTTCTAGAAGTTTATAGTTTTTTCATGTTAATTTATCAATGAAGTTTTCGTGACCGTGAAATAAAATATTGAACATGTCATTTTTCATAAATCTTGAATTATTTATTATTGTCTTATCGTCAAGAATGAACGTTTTTTTGTAGTAGATTATGGCGATTTATCGTTTACTGTGGTCAGAGACATGTTAGATAGGAATGAAGATTTGTGATTAAATGGAGATATTGGTTCAGTTATCAAATATATTATGATGGGAAAACTCTTGAAGACTTTTGTTTTTAGGAATTAGCCTTAATTTCTGCCATCGATATCTATGAAATCAATCTATGAAAACGTCAATAACGGATTTCTCTGTCAAGAATAACTTTGGGTGGAAAAATGCATTGATTCGCGACGCCTAATTTCCTTATTAAATATACATATGTCTCTGGTGTAGAGGATTCTAGCATTAGCAGAGACGGCTAATTTCCCTATCAAATATGTATGTCCTTGGTGTAGGCGATTCTAGCATTAGGTGAGACGGCCAATTTCCCTATCAAATACGTCTGTCCCGGATGTAGGTGATTCTAGCATTGGCTGAGACGGCTAATTTCCTTAGCAAATAGGTCTATCCCTGGTAAAGGGGATTCTAGTATTGGTTGAGACCCATATTGCAAATAACTTTGTTCCTATACCTTTTTCTTCAACTTTCATGCCCGTATTCTAAATGCTCACGAGCACTCACATTTAATGAGTGTAACACGGAAATTACGCTCTCACTAATCAAAGCAAACTCATTTCTCCGTCTTTGGCAGATTTTTTGCTATAATATTTCAAATCCAGCAATCACTGGAGTGAAAATGCTGACTTTGAATAATTATTGGGTGATTTTAAATCCACAATTAATATGTGTGAGTTATCATTTTTATGACTGACAGTCTGAAAACCGACTTTATCGAACCAAAGTGTCATTTACCGACTACGACAGTAACCTTCACATAGACGACGCCACCTAATTGAGCCTGTTGAAGGGGGGGGGCTACGAGCTATATTTACCAGATTTGCTGCTTCTTACTTTTTCCGGAGTTAGGCTACAATATATAAATGTTGGCGAAAAGGGGGAGAGGGACTCAACACCCCCGGCCTCCCAACCTTGGCGCCGTTCTTGATTTACTAAATAAAACTACCATGACCCTTAATTTAGCGACAATGCAATTACATGCATTTAAAGTACAACAAACACTTTTCATGGTAATATAACTACACGACACGAGTGGTGGTACTTTTCATGGTAATATAACTACACGAGACGAGTTGTGGTAGTTTTCATGGTATTATAACTACACGACACGAGTGGTGGTACTTTTCATGGTAATATAACTACACGACACGAGTGGTGGTACTTTTCATGGTAATATAACTACACGACACGAGTGGTGGTACTTTTCATGGTAATATAACTACACGACACGAGTGGTGGTACTTTTCATGGTAATATAACTACACGAGACGAGTGGTGGTACTTTTCATGGTATTATAACTACACGACACGAGTGGTGGTACTTTTCATGGTAATATAACTACACGACACGAGTGGTGGTACTTTTCATGGTAATATAACTACACGACACGAGTGGTGGTATTTTTCATGGTAATATAACTACACGACACGAGTGGTGGTACTTTTCATGGTAATATAACTACACGACACGAGTGGTGGTACTTTTCATGGTAATATAACTACACGACACGAGTGGTGGTACTTTTCTTGGCAATATAACTACACGGCATGAGTGGTGGTAGGTCGTTGAGTTTAGTGTAATCATGAGAAAGAATTTTGAAGCAGCCAGTGCTTCAACATCAGATGCATCTCTGGTTTGCCCTTTGTGTTCGAGAGCATTGCGTGCCAAGATTGGGCTCATTAGCCACCTCAGAGCTCGCCGTACCCAGTCTTCTAGTACTTAAGTTAACTTGTCAAGGTCATCATCGCTCGCGATGGACGAACAACAACAACAAAATCATGAGAAAGAATTTTAGTGTTGGTGTTGACTGACACGTTTCGACAAATTTTCATCAGTGGCGACTACTTCATTTAAATTTTAAACTGAGTAAAAATTGAAGTACTCGGCTTTTAAACGACTAATGTAAAAGTACAAATTACTAGAGGAAAAATATACTTGACTAAAAAAGCGCAAAGTACACGGCTATTGATTTAAATTATGAAAACTTGCGAGTAAAATTTAATAGCAAATTTATAATATTTGTTATTGACAATTTCAACCGGTACTTGCTCTGCAAAAACTCCCTGGTCCGTCTATAAGCTCTAGCAATGGATTTTTACAGTATTCAATCTTTTGATGGTTTTGTTACAACAACATAATAGTCAGTTTTAGAGCGTAGCATCAATAGAAAAAGTACATACTTAAATTAGACAAACAAGATGTAGAAATCGCGGAATGAAGGTTGTAATTAACTGACAGAAACGCTTTTATTGCTTTATTTTCCTGAAAGCGGGTTGTTTTTGTTATGATAATTTAAGGAGGTCGTTAATAAATAATCACAGGTGCTTCTAGCAACCTACGTAATGCGTCGTTGCAAAGTACAAATTAATCAATATTTTAAACAAATTGAAACGTGCAAATGTATATATATTTACTCACTAGTCAACAACAAAATACATATTGTAACTGCACATTTCATATCGCTTGATATGTGCATGATCTTAGCTGAAGCAAACTGACGCGGTTTAGAGACAACTTATGAAAGCAATGCGTTCTGAAAGACATGCGCAGGCCTTTTCTTTATGTTTTTGGTGTGTTTTTGAAATTTTGGCACAATTTTCGTGGGGAGCACAAGGAGAATGCAGTGGTCTCTCTTCGCTAGTACAAATAAACGCGAATTGGTGGAGAATTTTACCATATATATCGCGATCCATTTCTAAAAATGGAAATTACTCTTACTCAGGTATGTTGTAGATAACTTTATACAAATCTAAGTTTGCTGGTTTCATTAGTTTTTTAAAAGGAAGCATTCTCCATTTTTTTAATGTATAAAGTACTCGTAAAAAGTGAAGGTGCTGTGCAAACTTTTTTAGTTGTCTTGAAATTAAAAATGTTGAAACAAACATATACAATAAAGTGAGCAAATTCGTAAACTGCGTGATATTCTTTTCTATATCGTAAGACAGTTATCGTTGTCCGTCCTCAAGCATTAAAAGAAATTTTTGAATCATGTAATTTGTAAAAAAGATGGTTTTGGCAGTAATAAAATTTGACAATGATAAAAATTGTTTGGGATCGAACATTGAGGAGACTAATATTCATGTATGTACGGTCTACTTTATCAGCTTCTATTGAATTCAATTGTGATTAAAGATTTTAACATATGAATATACATATGAATGTGAGCCCCTCATTCTTTGGTTGCTGTCTATGCACTAAACTTTAATTGTACTGATAGTCTATTTTATAATAACATTTTTCTTTCTATGAAATTTTTGATCCAATCGAAAAAATGTGATTAATATGGGCTTCGCACAACTAAGCCCTGATGTTTTGGGCAGGAACCCCTCATCTCTACTTCTCCCACACATATTTCTCATAATTCTATACTCAATTATAAATTAAGAAATTCAGTTGGTTTTCTCGACGAAATCAACAAATAAAAACATGTAGCTATAGCAATCATAATTGTGTTGCAACAGTATTTTAGGTTAGTGTTCATCATTTCGATGAACGTGCAGACACAAGCCTGACATTTGAGCATTGACTACGGTAAATTCTGAGAATGAAAAATAAATTTTTTGTGGGTACATCGCGCCAATTTCTTTGTACGTATGAGCACGTATAACGAATATGTCAATGAATCATAGGAACACTGACGTCCTGGGAGCAACTTTGAACTACGGGAGAAGGGTACGGGGGCATGTTACCCCAGAAAATTTTAAATTAAGATGCTCTAAATGGCATTTCATGGACTTTGAGGAGGAGGGGGTTTGAACAATACCAACTATACAATTTCAAATGTCTTTTTTTATAACACAAATTCAAAATTTGACGCCCAGCTTCATGTGCCTACCCCCCTGCCTATGCCAACACGACACTGCTTGACGCCCAACCTTTGGTGCCTACCCCCTGCCCATACCAACACGATACTGCTTGATGCCCAACCCTTGGTGCCTACCTAATGCCCATGCCAACACGACACTGCTTGACGCCCAACCTTTGGTGCCACCCTCTTCCCCATGCCCTATAATCGTCCATCATAAATGTAAAATGTTAAGAAGTAGTGTATGCATTTTTACGGTACCATAATTCAATGGATATTTATCTCATTATTTACCTGGTCAACAAACACCTTTTTTTCGATATATAAGGCATTTTTCCGATGATCCTCGAAAGACTGGCGAATGATACCGATATGAAGGTGCGCTACAATAGACCGATGTCAACTTATGGGAACTTCACGAATGCGCTAACGCATCGAAATCTGAACAAAACTATCTTCTTTCCCGTCATGACGGATAAGAAAGAGGAAAACAAATGTTTTATACCAGTTTTACATACTAAAGGACCGGTGTACATTGTCCACTTAGAGAAAATCAAGCCTCTCGAATTATTAGGGAAAGGCTTGCTTCACGGTTGGCAGGTGATTGCCCTGACTGTAGTACTCGCAGCCATATCTGGAGTGTTTATGTGGTTAATGGTAAGCTGAAGCATTTCAATGATATATAGCTAAGATAGATATTAGAAAATGTAAAGTCCTTTGAACACTTTAACTTCTAACCACCCCTGGTCTTTCCTGCCATGAACTCATCTCAAAAATCTCCAGAGGGTTAACAAACCGCTTTATGCGACCTCCTTAATTACTGAGGCGTATCTACGTGTAGGAGTTAAGAATGCCCCGCAAGTTTTATTGTCGTAGCTATTGTTGTAACAAGTTTGTCAGGCGTGGAGTTTCAGACTTTAATTTCCATCTGATGGAGTGATATCCCAGCTTTGCCAATAGGCAGTTCTTCTCAAACCCTTTTAAACATTGTCACATATTCTCATTTTGTGTCTCTTTTCCCAATATTGGCTGGCGAGTCCCCAGCTTGGGTGATCCTACTCAAACCATTTCTGCCTTGACTTACTCAAGTAGGAGTCTCGTTTGTGTACAGTTTGCAAAAGTAAATCGAACGCCGGAGTGAACTCCTAACAATTCATCTCATTTATTTAGGACCGCAATGCAAATCCCGAGGAATTTCCACCGCATTTTTTCGCTGGAGTTTGGCAAGGTTTTTGGTGGGCATTTGTCACAATGACCACAGTAGGGTGAGAATAAAATAGTCGTACTAGTAGGAACTCTCAAGCATTGAATGAATTTATAAAAATATTAAATTTACCTTCGCTATTTCCAAAATGGCGACAAAATAATACTTCTCCAAAGGCTAAAAATTAGATCGAGACACTGGATTTAGCGCACACAGACACACAATATTGCCGGACAGATAACTTAAAAGTCAATATCAATAAGAAATGCGTTCTTTAACATACAGAGTCCGATAGAGATTTTCTTCACGAAAATAAAACGACCGTCATCATCGACCACAACTGAAGGAAAGTCCAAATAATTAAACGCCAACCTTGCATACTAAAGCGAATGTTCGTTCTTCAGTATGAATTAAATGTCTTTTAAAATGGGTTAGCCGCTAACATCCTTTACTGGCAGAAAAATACATTATGCCAAGTGCCAAAATTGATTACCGTGTAAACGGGCCTTTAAAGTCAAGAAAGCTTATATTTATCAAATTCAGCGCACGACATTACATCTTGACTCGAACTAAAATCCCAGCATTAGCAATTTAAATCTTAAGGTAAAAGGCGGGAAAACTGATCGATAAACATATTTGTAGAAACTGGGCGTCGATAGGATATCGGTCAACTATGCCCGTGTACCGGTCTAGAATATTCATCACAAATCACATGACTGTCAGCGAGTTTGGTTTAAGAACTTTAGGCAGTTTTGAGTGAAAATTTTCTATTTTCAATGTTTCAATGTGAATAGCTTCAGATTAACGTCATGGGCACCCCCCATTGGTTGTGCACACGAATAACTCCCCCCCCCCTTCCAATTAACGTTCTAGGGACAGTCCGGAAAGTGGCTTATTAGGATATAACATAAAACGTAAAGTAACTTTGTAACTAGAAGCAAATAATACTGTTTAACTTCTTATCGGAAAAGGCCACATTTTACTGTGACTTTAACGGGTAACTGGTCCTTATTTGGGAGTAGTTCCAAAACTGGAAGTTATTCCAAAAGGTAACTTTTATAGTACTGCCTGTTTCATGTTTCTGATGATCTTTACACGTAGATCTATTGACTAAATGAAAGTCAAAGCGTAGTATTAAACTTAATTTGATTTAATATACATTTGCAGTTACGGAGACATAAGTCCAAGGTCTATACGGGGAAGGCTATATTGTATATTGTGGATGATCATTGGAATGATAGCCTTCTCTATTCTGACAGCAAATATCACAAGCTCATTGTCACAGAAAATAATCGATAAGGAAGAAAATCTATTTAGTAAAAAAGTAAGTTCAAGCCGGTAGGCTGCACGAAGCATGGATAGCATTATTCATTGGATAGCAAAATTTTTTAACCGTCAAAGAAACTTCTTAAAAAGGAAAAATATAAGGTTTGAACTGAGCATTAACTGAAATAAATATTGAACATTTTTGAACTCGTTGAATTACTATCTTCAAATTTTAGCGGGAGGTAGCATTCCAGATATATTCAGTTCAATGATGTAAAAAAATGTTTAGGTTGGAGTCCTTGGAGAAACAATGGACGCCAAGGCAGCATGGGCAGAAAATGCACGCGTCATAAGTAAGTTATCCCCCAACATTCACCACTAATCCCTTTTGCACACATTCAATGCAGTGATAGGCTTAATACCATGACGTCACTGGTTCCTGTGACAAAATTTTACCCAAGCCTCCACATTTTCTCTCGGGCGACCATTTTATTATTATTCTTAGATTACTATGACGTTGTAAGCCTAATAGACGCCCTTGCAAAGGATGAAGTCGACGGTATTCTTGTAGAACGTTATGCAGCGGGAGCACACTACAATCTATTCAAGAGCCGGGGATTGGAACTGGGGAAAGTTACATCGTTCCCGTATGATATAGGCATGCAATTGGTCGGTGAAAAAAACACTAGCATGTGTACTGCGTTTAAGAAATGCATCATGGATATCACGAAGAAGTTCAATATTGCTATGGTAATTGTGTTCGACTATCAAACCAGTGTCAAGTTTTACCGCTGAACTGAATATATCTGGACGACTACAAAATGAAGCATACTCCGAATAAAAAGTTCTTGTTTAACTCAATATTTGAGAAAAGAAGACAATTTTTATTTTGAATCTTTATATTTCGAATTTGTCACAAATTCATCATCAGACTATACATACAATATTGACTACATTTATATTGACTAAGTTTATTTATTTTTCTTTAATATAGTCTGATGATGAATTTGTAACAAATTCGAAATATAACTATTCATATAAAAATTGTCTTGTTTCCTTCTTAAATATTGAGTTAAACATGAACTTTTTACTCGGAGTATGCTTCATTTTGTACTACATAAAATTGTTGGCTGGTAATTGATCCTGGATGGCTACATACTGTCAAATTTGAAGCCAAAAATTAAACTAATGAATTTCTTTAGAAATTGACGTATTTTGTTCATTGCAATTCTTATCACTATGCTAAGCCCGCTTTTGCATAAAGTAAGGCCATATTTTATACACATCTTCATTACCAGCACAAAAACTTTTCTGCTTCTGAGAATTTGACACATTTTCTAACAGCAAAACATGCACAGTATTGAACCAGTACGACTAGCAAAGTGGTCAGACATTGAAATACAACCGTGGGTTGATTTCTAAAGGTCTTTTTTGATACACCCAGTAGAATAAGCTAGCCGTCCAGTCACATATTCAGTTCAACGTGTTGCGCACAATAACTTGTAAAAAGCACTGATATATGTAATGACTGGATAACGCAACCTAATTCTGATGCCTGGAAAATTTTGAAGCCAACTTTTGAGAGCGGCGCCATATTGGAATAACCATATCTAGTATTTTATAGTGAATTTTTATCACATTTTGTATTCTTGTCATTTTTTCTTTCAGAAATCATGCGAAATATTTTATTACGATATTTAAGAAACGTGAAAAGATTTCTATATGAAATTTAGCAAACATGAGTTTTTGCTTAAAACCTTTCTATTGCAGTCTTGTCATCATAATTCTTTTTCGTCCCAAGAGTAAAACATATGATCCAAAATAAATGCGACGGTAGCAGTTTGTTATATAAAACCATTATAAAAACTGAAAAAGTGGATAGTCCAATATGGCCGTCACCTGTCTTCACGTCAAGCACTAAGTTGTACTATCCAGTTTTATACATATCAGTGGTAAATAGCAACACAAGTCTGAAAACTCAAATAAGTTAGCTTCATAACGTATGTCATCAGCGCCGAAAGATGTCATCAGCGCTCGTTTGTACGTTTCTTTCGTTAATTAGGGGTTAGTGGGTGTTGAATATTCATATATTCAGCTCTGCCCGACTTAATTCTTTTGAAATCGCTAACAAACAAAATCTGTCGCGAATATATGAAAGTTCTAGTTTTGGCTTGTAAATCATGTACCTGTTCTGCTAACATACGTCAATTTTAGGAAGTGTTGATTGACCATTCAAACGAGTGGAAAAAGTTCGAAACAAAAGAATCATCAACGCTGTTTGAGAATGAGACATTTTTTTATATCCTCATCGCCTTCTTCTTTGCTTTACTTGGCGTCACTGGACTATGGCATTACTTTGTTCACTTACCAAAACAAAAGATGAAAACAACTACTTGTATGTTTTGTTGAAATAATCCCTGTTTATTGAATAAGCTAGAGTATTATATTGCCAAAATTTCAAAATGGGGGACAATCCAAAAGAAGTTACTACGTCTTCTGCGGAGTTCTCTGACCAATACATTACCATAGAACTTTCCTTAGAATAAACGTTGGAGCTCCCCTAAAACTAGATCCAACCCCCCCGCCCCGATACAACCCTGATAATAAATTAGCGTTAGTTAAAATTATGAAGAAAGTTAGCTAAGTTGTTAAACAAAATACAATCTAAGATAGCTATGCGTGCGCACGTCAAAGACCGTAGTACAAAACGGGATGAATTATTCTACCTATGCGAGCAACCAATTGTCCCTTATGATCTCCTGAAGTAACAGTAGTTATACAACGTCATTTTAGCTGAAGAACGTTTAAAGAAAGAATTGAAATACATCGTTCATAAAGCGGAAGTAGACGGCCTATGCGATGATTGTAAAGCACAACTGAATGGTATATTCCAACAGGACCCAGACCGTGAACAGAGCGACTCGTTTCTACCTTTCTTTCAAGGTGCTCCAAATCTAAAGCTGTTACACGTGAATGCTCTTCACAGGTTGAAACGTGCGCCACCTGAGCACAGATGATGTTTTACCCGGGAGCAAGAACCGGGGAAAAGAAGGCCGGCCGGGGAAAGAGAGCCGGCCGCATGTCATTACAGCAATGAAGGGGTTGGTCGTTAGGCAACAAATTCGCGCAAACAAATTTTCAAAAACAGAAAAGTGCTTCAAACATTCACTTCTTCTCAAATAGTCCCAAATAAATGTTAAAGAATTTAATTTGCTGATATATATGAATAAATATGATTGGTCAATGGTTTCTTTTTAAAAACAGTAATTTCTCGTCAATGTCAAAGGTAAATTATTTGATTGTAATGCGTAAAAACGAGCTTGTTGGACCGCAGTCCATTATGTATATCGTTCAGTATGTAAAACCTCATAAACAAAAAGTAAATAAATTAGCAATGTGATTATTAGCAAAATGTCAGAATAAAGTTTCATTCCTCAGTTGCACAAGTTTGGATTAGATTTCGGTGACTACTTGTTTTCTTACTAGAAGACTTTTGAAAATCCTTTCGATTAAGCATTAATCACAATTGATTTTGAGCATGCGCCGCAGTCAACTCAACTAATTGTTCGAGTTGTGCATGGTCATGACCAACTGGATCTACTAGCCCCAGTTTCGGAGTAAATAGCTCGCTTTCACAATATATCTGCGCTTGCGCAGCACGCTGATGCATGCGCAGTACTTATGCCCACATATCATGAAAAATATCACTTGAGCATGAGCAGTCGATATAACCGAAAATATAAGACAACCGACGACGAAAAAATTAATGCAGTCTGATGCATCCTTCTCATACTAATTTTCTACACAAAACAATCTTACAACTTTGCACTAAAAAACAGCAACATGCAAAAACACACAAATAACTCATATCGACACAGTTCCGTACTTTCACTACTTGGGTTTAATGAATATACCTTGCAATTGACAAACAGCGGATTGTATTTATAAGTTTAGTTTGAAAATAAAGCAATTTGGAATGATAAAATAAAGTTTAAAGGCTCAAGTAGATGTGTGAAGCAAACGTTCTATCACTCGATGATGAAACATTCCAATCGCTTCCATACCTATAAGAATTCCTTTCGATGGTATTTCTCCAGTTCAAAATACGACACGACGACGACGCGATTCGAGAACTTACGACCAGTGAGCGATTGATGCGCGGCTTTGCTTTCACTGGACGATGAAAACTCGACAAATATCTGTTAAAGATGAATAATAGGTCGCTTAGGTGAGGCAAATAATATGCATATCACGGTTTAATAATGACGATACCTTTCCACATCCCGGGGGTTCAAATTCCGGTGTAGGTCGAGGAATTTCCACGCTAACAACGTTACCATACTTTGAACATTCGTCACGAACATCTTCATAAATTTCTATTTATAAAAATAGGCACACGCATTGGAGGATAATCTTTATATTGACACGATAGACAAAAGATTTACATGAAGACTACAACATTTGTAAATTTACATTGACACGAAAAATGACACATTTACATGATAAGTACAAGAAAGAAAAACTTCCTTGAACTACAGTAGATCAAATCCTACGTTTGAGCATGCATGACATTAACAACGTTGGTAAGTTTAAATTTAGTTAACAAAATAAATGGACTTTCTGCTAGGGAACATCTGAGGTGCCATTCCCTCAAATATCACTTTACTGAAACTTTTCATGCACTTCAAAGGTAAAGAGGACTGGGGAGGTGGGTTGGCCCTAAAATTAACACGTAACAAGGGTTTGGTAAACCATTGCTAACTTCACTTTCCACCCAGTTCAGCACCCTGAAAATTTTGCTGTAAACGCACTAAAATATTACGTACAAAAATAGGTCTACGATCGACCGGCGGCTTTGTCGTGCAGTGGTAAGTTTCTACTAAACCATAGTAAACTCCCCTTGTAGTGCAGTGGTAAGTTTCTACTAAACCATAGTAAACTCCCTTGTAGTGCAGTGGTAAGTTTCTACTAAACCATAGTAAACGCACCTTGTAGTGCAGTGGTAAGTTTCTACTAAACCATAGTAAACTCCTTGTAGTGCAGTGGTAAGTTTCTACTAAACCATAGTAAACTCCCTTGTAGTGCAGTGGTAAGTTTCTACTAAACCATAGTAAACTCCTTGTAGTGCAGTGGTAAGTTTCTACTAAACCATAGTAAACGCACCTTGTAGTGCAGTGGTAAGTTTCTACTAAACCATAGTAAACTCCTTGTAGTGCAGTGGTAAGTTTCTACTAAACCATAGTAAACGCACCTTGTAGTGCAGTGGTAAGTTTCTACTAAACCATAGTAAACTCCCCTTGTAGTGCAGTGGTAAGTTTCTACTAAACCATAGTAAACGCACCTTGTAGTGCAGTGGTAAGTTTCTACTAAACCATAGTAAACTCCCCTTGTAGTGCAGTGGTAAGTTTCTACTAAACCATAGTAAACGCACCTTGTAGTGCAGTGGTAAGTTTCTACTAAACCATAGTAAACTCCCTTGTAGTGCAGTGGTAAGTTTCTACTAAACCATAGTAAACGCACCTTGTAGTGCAGTGGTAAGTTTCTACTAAACCATAGTAAACTCCCTTGTAGTGCAGTGGTAAGTTTCTACTAAACCATAGTAAACGCACCTTGTAGTGCAGTGGTAAGTTTCTACTAAACCATAGTAAACTCCTTGTAGTGCAGTGGTAAGTTTCTACTAAACCATAGTAAACGCACCTTGTAGTGCAGTGGTAAGTTTCTACTAAACCATAGTAAACTCCCTTGTAGTGCAGTGGTAAGTTTCTACTAAACCATAGTAAACGCACCTTGTAGTGCAGTGGTAAGTTTCTACTAAACCATAGTAAACTCCCTTGTAGTGCAGTGGTAAGTTTCTACTAAACCATAGTAAACACCTTGTAGTGCAGTGGTAAGTTTCTACTAAACCATAGTAAACTCCTTGTAGTGCAGTGGTAAGTTTCTACTAAACCATAGTAAACGCACCTTGTAGTGCAGTGGTAAGTTTCTACTAAACCATAGTAAACTCCTTGTAGTGCAGTGGTAAGTTTCTACTAAACCATAGTAAACGCACCTTGTAGTGCAGTGGTAAGTTTCTACTAAACCATAGTAAACTCCCTTGTAGTGCAGTGGTAAGTTTCTACTAAACCATAGTAAACGCACCTTGTAGTGCAGTGGTAAGTTTCTACTAAACCATAGTAAACTCCTTGTAGTGCAGTGGTAAGTTTCTACTAAACCATAGTAAACGCACCTTGTAGTGCAGTGGTAAGTTTCTACTAAACCATAGTAAACTCCTTGTAGTGCAGTGGTAAGTTTCTACTAAACCATAGTAAACGCACCTTGTAGTGCAGTGGTAAGTTTCTACTAAACCATAGTAAACTCCTTGTAGTGCAGTGGTAAGTTTCTACTAAACCATAGTAAACGCACCTTGTAGTGCAGTGGTAAGTTTCTACTAAACCATAGTAAACTCCCTTGTAGTGCAGTGGTAAGTTTCTACTAAACCATAGTAAACGCACCTTGTAGTGCAGTGGTAAGTTTCTACTAAACCATAGTAAACTCCTTGTAGTGCAGTGGTAAGTTTCTACTAAACCATAGTAAACGCACCTTGTAGTGCAGTGGTAAGTTTCTACTAAACCATAGTAAACGCACCTTGTAGTGCAGTGGTAAGTTTCTACTAAACCATAGTAAACGCACCTTGTAGTGCAGTGGTAAGTTTCTACTAAACCATAGTAAACGCACCTTGTAGTGCAGTGGTAAGTTTCTACTAAACCATAGTAAACGCACCTTGTAGTGCAGTGGTAAGTTTCTACTAAACCATAGTAAACGCCCTTGTAGTGCAGTGGTAAGTTTCTACTAAACCATAGTAAACGCACCTTGTAGTGCAGTGGTAAGTTTCTACTAAACCATAGTAAACGCACCTTGTAGTGCAGTGGTAAGTTTCTACTAAACCATAGTAAACGCACCTTGTAGTGCAGTGGTAAGTTTCTACTAAACCATAGTAAACGCACCTTGTAGTGCAGTGGTAAGTTTCTACTAAACCATAGTAAACGCACCTTGTAGTGCAGTGGTAAGTTTCTACTAAACCATAGTAAACGCACCTTGTAGTGCAGTGGTAAGTTTCTACTAAACCATAGTAAACGCACCTTGTAGTGCAGTGGTAAGTTTCTACTAAACCATAGTAAACGCACCTTGTAGTGCAGTGGTAAGTTTCTACTAAACCATAGTAAACGCACCTTGTAGTGCAGTGGTAAGTTTCTACTAAACCATAGTAAACGCACCTTGTAGTGCAGTGGTAAGTTTCTACTAAACCATAGTAAACGCACCTTGTAGTGCAGTGGTAAGTTTCTACTAAACCATAGTAAACACCTTGTAGTGCAGTGGTAAGTTTCTACTAAACCATAGTAAACGCACCTTGTAGTGCAGTGGTAAGTTTCTACTAAACCATAGTAAACACCTTGTAGTGCAGTGGTAAGTTTCTACTAAACCATAGTAAACGCACCTTGTAGTGCAGTGGTAAGTTTCTACTAAACCATAGTAAACGCACCTTGTAGTGCAGTGGTAAGTTTCTACTAAACCATAGTAAACGCACCTTGTAGTGCAGTGGTAAGTTTCTACTAAACCATAGTAAACGCACCTTGTAGTGCAGTGGTAAGTTTCTACTAAACCATAGTAAACGCACCTTGTAGTGCAGTGGTAAGTTTCTACTAAACCATAGTAAACGCACCTTGTAGTGCAGTGGTAAGTTTCTACTAAACCATAGTAAACACCTTGTAGTGCAGTGGTAAGTTTCTACTAAACCATAGTAAACGCACCTTGTAGTGCAGTGGTAAGTTTCTACTAAACCATAGTAAACGCACCTTGTAGTGCAGTGGTAAGTTTCTACTAAACCATAGTAAACTCACCTTGTAGTGCAGTGGTAAGTTTCTACTAAACCATAGTAAACGCACCTTGTAGTGCAGTGGTAAGTTTCTACTAAACCATAGTAAACTCACCTTGTAGTGCAGTGGTAAGTTTCTACTAAACCATAGTAAACGCACCTTGTAGTGCAGTGGTAAGTTTCTACTAAACCATAGTAAACGCCCTTGTAGTGCAGTGGTAAGTTTCTACTAAACCATAGTAAACGCACCTTGTAGTGCAGTGGTAAGTTTCTACTAAACCATAGTAAACTCACCTTGTAGTGCAGTGGTAAGTTTCTACTAAACCATAGTAAACGCACCTTGTAGTGCAGTGGTAAGTTTCTACTAAACCATAGTAAACTCCCTTGTAGTGCAGTGGTAAGTTTCTACTAAACCATAGTAAACGCACCTTGTAGTGCAGTGGTAAGTTTCTACTAAACCATAGTAAACTCCTTGTAGTGCAGTGGTAAGTTTCTACTAAACCATAGTAAACGCACCTTGTAGTGCAGTGGTAAGTTTCTACTAAACCATAGTAAACTCCTTGTAGTGCAGTGGTAAGTTTCTACTAAACCATAGTAAACGCACCTTGTAGTGCAGTGGTAAGTTTCTACTAAACCATAGTAAACTCCTTGTAGTGCAGTGGTAAGTTTCTACTAAACCATAGTAAACGCACCTTGTAGTGCAGTGGTAAGTTTCTACTAAACCATAGTAAACTCCTTGTAGTGCAGTGGTAAGTTTCTACTAAACCATAGTAAACTCACCTTGTAGTGCAGTGGTAAGTTTCTACTAAACCATAGTAAACTCCCCTTGTAGTGCAGTGGTAAGTTTCTACTAAACCATAGTAAACGCACCTTGTAGTGCAGTGGTAAGTTTCTACTAAACCATAGTAAACTCCCTTGTAGTGCAGTGGTAAGTTTCTACTAAACCATAGTAAACTCCTTGTAGTGCAGTGGTAAGTTTCTACTAAACCATAGTAAACTCCTTGTAGTGCAGTGGTAAGTTTCTACTAAACCATAGTAAACGCACCTTGTAGTGCAGTGGTAAGTTTCTACTAAACCATAGTAAACTCCTTGTAGTGCAGTGGTAAGTTTCTACTAAACCATAGTAAACGCACCTTGTAGTGCAGTGGTAAGTTTCTACTAAACCATAGTAAACTCCTTGTAGTGCAGTGGTAAGTTTCTACTAAACCATAGTAAACGCACCTTGTAGTGCAGTGGTAAGTTTCTACTAAACCATAGTAAACTCCCTTGTAGTGCAGTGGTAAGTTTCTACTAAACCATAGTAAACGCACCTTGTAGTGCAGTGGTAAGTTTCTACTAAACCATAGTAAACTCCCTTGTAGTGCAGTGGTAAGTTTCTACTAAACCATAGTAAACGCACCTTGTAGTGCAGTGGTAAGTTTCTACTAAACCATAGTAAACTCCTTGTAGTGCAGTGGTAAGTTTCTACTAAACCATAGTAAACGCACCTTGTAGTGCAGTGGTAAGTTTCTACTAAACCATAGT